AGGTGAAGGCGATCCTCACTGAGCTGGGAGCGCTCTCTGATGACTACGACGGCCAGAAGCAATACCTATCTCGTTGGCCCAGCCTGCCCGACTGTGTCCGTGGGGTCCTCATCGGTGACGAGCCCCAGTCAGCTGTGAGCTTCCCTTCAACAACCTCCTCTCCCTCGGTGGTCTCAAACAACTCTCTAGAGCTTAGCGACAGCCCGGAGGTGGTCACTAGTAGCCCGTCGGTGAGCGAGGACCAGCAGCACGAGGTCACTTTTGAGGACAATTTGGTATCGCATGTGATGGTGCAGGACCACAGCCCGCCGTCCGCTAAGAGCGCTAGGTCCGCTCTAGAGGAGACATGGGACTCCGAAGGGAGCACCTCTGAGGAGGAGGAAGAGGAGGAGAGGGCGGCGATGGATGCATGTGTTGATGATGTATTTAATACCACTGAGATTCAGAGTGCTGAGTCGCAGCTCCCGGCGGGGTCCCAGATCCTGGAGGCATCCCAGGTGTCGACGGTGCCGCCTATTGTAAGTCGACTATGGAAGTCAGTGACGATGATGCCGAGTGATATTGAGGAGGAAGATGAGGAGGAAGAGGAGGAGGAAGACTCCTCGGCTGATGAGAGCGAGAGAGTGATGATGCCGTTGTTCACGGCCAGAGGCGACCATCGGGACTACAGCGAAGAGCAGAGCTCGGCGGCTACGATCGTCGATACTGAGTGGTTGGATGCATGTGAGGTGGTCCTCACCGAGGGAGAGGAGAAGGAGTTGGCCAAGAATAAGGCGGAGCAGGTCCACGGCCTCAGGGTGGGCACGTGGAATGTATGGTTTAGCAAGAAGAGTCCCAGCCAGTCACTTTGCCGACAGGAGGAGGTGAGGAAGTTCGTGTGTGGTGTCTACGAGGACGGCTGGCCCGACATACTCATGGTGCAGGAGTCGAACCTCTCAGCTCATCGGGCCCAAATATGCTACTTCCACACTCACTTGCGACGTTTCGAGTACCTCACTGGCTACAAGAGCCAAGTTCATGACACGGGCATTCTTGTAAACTGCGAAAAATTCTCGGTGGCTCGGCCGGTCCCGGAGGAGTTGTTGATGACTGTTAAGGACCGGTTGGTGAAGGCCCACTGCGGTGCCATCCCACATGGTCAGCTCGCCACGGCTCTGAGTAGAATATGTGTTGTCGAGCTAGAACACGAGAAGATGCAGAGTAGATTTTTTGCTTGCTCATTCCATGCAACCAGGCATCAGGCTAATGCCTGCAGCTCAGCGGTCCTGCTCTTCCTCCAAGAGCTCAGTGACGCAACTCGAATCCCCGTGTTGGTCGGTGGCGACTTCAACTGCGACATTGTAGACCTCCTCGATGGCAACCCCGACCTCGACAACGCCCTAGCAGGACTCACCGTTGCTGAGTACTCGTACAAGCGGCATCGTTTTAAAGGCAATCGTGATAAGCTCATTGACCGTCTGGCTGTGATTAACCCGCGGTCCAATAGGGAGTTTGATCTCAAGCTCCACAGTGTGGCCGCCTGTTCTTTCGAAGAGTCCCTTTTCGTGGACGACCATGAGCCCGGTGTCCGAGTATTCGACCATCTTCCCGTAATGGGTCAACTCTCGTTAGGCGAGAAGTGGTTCTGATGTGGTATTTTTCAGCAGCATGCTAGTAGTAATTATCATGTTATACAGTCTCTATCTCTTCCACTTCTTTTTGGTTGGTCTCAAACTGTAGTGCAGTTGAAGTGATTCCATAGGCTGGTCGACAGGTCGTATTCCATTCATTGGCAGGTTCTACTCTTTATGACCACCGAGCCACTGATCCTTGACAACGTCCTCATTTTCATTGCCAAAGGTTGTCGCCATCGCCACCTAATGTTACTGCTTATTAACATCGACCATGAAGTTTTCGCTGTATCACGCGGTGACTAGCAACGTTGGCATTTGTCCGAGTCAATGACGGTGTTTTGCTCCTCGCCTAGTCGCGCTCGGGCGCTCAGCTGTAGATGAGTATCCAGGGGCTTGATGACTTCTTTAAACTTTCGATAAGTGTCTACGTCTCTTGAAAGTCATCTTGAAAAGTCGATTTATATAACGGTCTGGTTCGTGCTCTATAACCGTCAACAAAGCAGCGCTTTAGTCCGCAGAGAGCACTACGTGCTAGACCTGCCTCTCTGGCTAATTCCAAGTCAAGACATAGTTCCGAGACAGCATATACATAGTCTCGAACAAATGTGGACCCAGTTCATCCGAATTATTACACAGCGTAAGCGTGGTAGTCAGAATGAATGAAGAGATGCTCCTCTCGACGCTTTTTTGTCTTTCCTCCCTCCTTTCTTATTTTCCCAAAATCCAAAGGGTCGCAGGATTTATTCGACCTCCTTGTGCATCGACTGGGTTAGAACCCAGCACGCGTTAAAATCATCAAAGCCCGACTCAATAGCATTGGGGAAACCAGCACACAGACGATCCGGCTAGAGAAACCGGAAGCGTCACTTAGTGATGATCACTTAGTGGGGAATTCCAATACTGATGATCACTATTGGAATTCCCTCTCACCGTGCTGGAGCGAAAAAAGCAGCACAGTGTCGTCCATCCTATCATCCCATCAACATTGCCCTCTCCACCCGATAAATCTCATGATGCTATGTACACTAAATCAAACATTATCTAATAGGGTGCATGTATATTTTCTTTGAGTGTTGGTGCTATCGACGGGTACAATGGCACTGGCAGACTTTTCTTACGCGGCACTGTGGCATTTCGCGACGAGTTGATGATTTTCCTCTTGCAACTTTCAAGTACACAACAAAATGACACACAAGATAAATGTACGTAGGAGTAGCAGCGTTGTTCAATCAGTCATTTTAAGTAGAAACACCGGTTACCGGAGCGGGCCATTTCCCAGCCCTCTGTTGAAATTATCAACCTTGAACCGCCAAGTCTCCAAATCGTAGGAGAGAAAGGTAGCATCATTCAAGGCCTCAGTCAACTGTCGCATACGATCAATGTACTGAAAGCATCAAACAACAGCGTGACTACACAGGACACCGACGGAATTCACCAACCTTCTCGGGCTGTTGCCGCGCCTTCTTGGCATTCTTCGGCTTCACATACAGCTCTACTACAGCAGGCTTATTGAGTCCCTTACCAACCGGGGGACGGACTACAGTAAGGAGAGAATAGAAGAAATAGAGGCAAGCCAGGGCGCCTACCCGAATCGTCTAGAAAGACAACAACACCCGATGCAGTGAACTTCACAGTGTCGTCCACCGACAAGTAGCGTACATCAGTGAGGCCTAGCATTGGGAGAATACAGCGGAGGCTCGATTCGGTGAATACCCACCAGGCCACGTGATCTTGCCGTAGGAGTAGTGGCCAATAGCCAGGTTGTCGACACGGGCAAGCTCAGCCTCGCTCATCAACGATAGGGCGTCGAGGGACGGCCGAATCCTGAGGTTGGTCGATCCTGGACGGCTGATGGGAGGTCCCAGACACTTACCACATGTTGGGATCTTCAAGCTTCGGCACCATATTGCGAGGTGCCGGCTCTCGTAGCCTCGCAGACCCCACACTCGGGGACCGTCGACGATCCGCCGACAGAGACCGTCGTTCGCAAGAAGAGTATCTACCAAGAAAGAGATGGAAGACGGTAAGGCAGTCCGAGAAAGCAGCACTCACACAACACCAGGGCGGGTGATGACGACATCCGGCTCGTGGTCAATCAGTGAGGAAGCCAATGGCGACCTCCTAGGAGATGTCATCGAGCCGTACTCTAGGCTGGGACTGCCATGTAGAGGAGATAAATGGTGATGCCTGAGTCTGTAGGGGTGAGCACGGTGTTGGAGAGGGTGGGCGGACTCACTCAGCCAACGCCACGAAACTAGATCCAACAGCATCAGGGTTTCGCAAGGGCACCGTACCGTCCTCCAGCAGTAGGTTGGTGCTGCCTCCACCTGAAGACGAGTACTACCGAGACACATCTATACTAAGCAACCTACCACTGATGGTGCTGGTTGCCCGGCCTGTGGCCGCCCTAGGGGTCATGGCACTCCGTGGGGTCAGCACATGATCCGGACTGGGGGAGGAAGCATTGCCGCCACCTCGGACGTGGAGGTGCCTCATTGAAGATGGATTCACAGGGGACAGGGGGACACCACCAAGAGCTGGACCAGGAATCGAGAATCTGACACTTACCACTAATAGACCAGTGCCCATCAGTGTGGTGGTACCTGTCACTGCGAGGGGAAAGACCAGGGGATCTCGACGACGACACTGGGGTCTGGGGACTACCACCGCTGGTCGTAGGGGGTGGTGGAGTGACATGACTCCTAGGTTCCTCCTTCCAGAGGTAAGCTGCTAGGCTCTTGTCGACCTCCTTGGGTAGCAGCAACCCACTGGGACGAGGGGGGACAGGCAGAGCCGCTGGTGTAGACAGTGGCTGGATGCTGGCCTGCTGTTGTTGCTGGCCTCCTCCGAATAAACCACCTCCCCCTTGGGGCTGGGAGGACCCAAAGAGACCACCACCAGTAGCCTTATTGGCACCGAATAGACCTCCACCACCTCCTCCACCGAAGAGGCCGCCACCAGAGGACGAAGCGGAGCTGCCGAAGAGCCCTCCACCACCACCGCCGCCTCCGAAGAGACCCCCACCGCTAGAAGACTGTCCGAACAAGCCCCCGCCCGATGCCGCCGTATTTCCGAAGAGGCCGCCCCCAGAGGCCGGTTTATTGCCGAAGAGCCCACCGCCTCCTCCCCCTCCAAAGAGACCTCCACCACTACTACTCTGCTGCCCACCAAAGAGGCCCCCTCCACCGCCGAAAAGACCGCCGCCCGAGGATGACTGTTGGCCTCCACCAAAGAGACCACCACCAGTGGACTGTCCACCACCAAATAGGCCTCCACCCCCTCCGCCACCGAAGAGGCCACCGCCACTGCTACTCTGGGCGGTACCGAAGAGACCGCCACCAGCGGACTGTCCTCCTCCGCCGCCGAAGAGACCACCGCCACCTGCCTGCTGGCCACCACCGAAGAGGCCACCACCGGAAGACTGTTGGCCACCGCCAAAGAGGCCGCCTCCAGTATTGGGCGAAGAACCGAAGAGGCCCCCACCGGCACTAGACTGAGCACCTCCGAATAGACCTCCACCAGAAGATTGCTGGGCGCCTCCAAAGAGACCACCCCCGCCGCCGCCAAAGAGTCCACCGCCCTGACTCGACTGCTGCTGACCGAAGAGGCCTCCACCCTGTGAGGACTGCTGCTGGCCGAACAAGCCTCCACCGCCTCCTCCTCCGAAGAGGCCCCCGCCTTGGCTACTTTGCTGCTGACCACCAAAGAGGCCACCTCCACCACCGCCCCCACCGAAGAGCCCTCCCTGAGATGATGACTGCTGTTGGCCGAAGAGGCCACCACCTCCACCACCGAAAAGGCCGCCTTGACTCGAACTCTGTTGACCCCCACCGAAGAGGCCACCTCCACCTCCTGCACCCCCGAATAGACCACCTCCAGTGTTCTGCTGAGGCTGGCCGAATAGGCCTCCAGCAGGTTTCTGGCCGAAGAGGCCACCCTGACTCTGCTGCTGCTGCTGCATGCCGCCACCACCAAATAGTCCTCCACCACCTGAGACCAGAGCATCCCCCTGCACCATCTCGAGAGGTACTACCACTCTGTTG